ATCTTACCAATATGGGGATCAAACCCAGGATTTCGGCGTGATTAACACTTCGGATGAGGAGAGTGTTTAAATGAGGAAACGCTGAACTGCCCTGGAATACATCACCCACAAGGGGATGAAACTATAGATTCCCCTACGAATATAGGAGTGACAGAATCCACTGTTCATTATCACAAAGAAGGAACCCACGTTGCATCCATCATCTTGAAGACTTTGTTAATGTTCCGCACATTTCCTTTCTATCAGATGAATGTGTTCTTACTTTGTACACTGTTCACACATCTTCCTTCCAGTTTCCATTGTAAATAACACAAATAACCACAGTATAATTAGACTCTGCTGCACACACACACACACACACACACACACACACACACAATGCTAGCACTCATTACAGTTCCCACAGACCAAACACATGGCAACAGTTAAAGCAATCAGTCATGCTCTTCATCAGCTTGCTGTTATTAAAGACAATCCGCCCTCATCAACATGCATGTATGTACAAAATGGAGTCTAGTTGTGCGTCAAGTCTGGTCATCATGGGCAACGCTATTTGGAGATGGTTGCTGGCTAAAACACAGCCAAGGAAAATATGAAACTGGTGGATTGACAAGAAACTTCTAACATGGCCTAGAAAAATATTTTGAATAAAGAGGATCTGTAGATGAGATGCCATTGGTCAAGACGAGGATGAGAATTCACTGAGATTCCTTAAACATACATGAGGAAAAGTATCCCAAAACTACAATGTTAAGTAATTTTAAATTCAAAAATAAATTCTTTTCAAAGCATAACAGTGTTAAGGTATCGCAAAGTACCTATGATATTCAATGCTATGAAAGATGGCGACAGCGTTAACTAAACTGTCTTCAACATGACAACCATGCCACAATGCTATGAAAGATGGCGACTGCTATGAAACTGTTAACAACATTGTGACCAGAATGCTATGAAAGATGGTGACAGTGCTATGTTAGCTCTCAACATCGCGACGACAAGGCTATGAAAGATGGTGACAGTGCTATGTTAACTCTCAACATCGCGACGACAAGGCTATGAAAGATGGCGACAGTGCTATGTTAACTCTCAACATCGCGACAACAAGGCTATGAAAGATGGCGACTGTTACGTCAATTATCAACTACAATGCTATGAATGATGGAGACGGTGCAATGTTAACTGTCAACAACATGCGACCACAATGCGATGAAAGATGACAGTCCTATGTTAACTGTCAACATGGCAACCACAATGCTATGAAAGAAGGTGACAGCTATGAAAACTCTCAACATGACAATCACTATGCTATGACAGGACAGTGTAATGTGTTAACAACATGGTGACCAAAATGCAATGGCAACATGGTAGCAACCAGGGCGATGCTGACGGACACTGACTCTACAGACTGGCGGTGCTAACACAGATCAGCTTGACACTTCCTCCTCCCTGCTGCACAACACCAGCGCTACACTGGGTGTCTGCAATATTGCACAAGGACAGAACATACAACTTTGCTCTGATACTCAACCCCGGAACACGGAGCATGTCCTGTCACAGAACTGAATCAACACATTACAGACATCGTCTCAATGCTGAAAAGTTAGTAAACAGAAACAATCCACTCTCAAACAAAAACATGTCAGTGTGATACCAGTTGTTCAAAAACACAGTCATACCTTGTTATCTCAAATAGGGATATTGATAAATAAAACGTGTCAGAGATAAATGGACATCGTCATTAACTAACAACGTGCAAGGATGGGGAAAGTTTCCCTTTTCTTGATTAACAAGACAAACTAAGATCATGATTATAGGGCATAATTATTAACATATGGTGCATGTGAAGTAGAAACATTTTTATAGGTCATTTATTGTTTTATTAAATGTTTGTTTCTTTGTTGTTTAACGCCGCACCCAGCAATATATCAGCGATATGACAGGGGTCTGTAAATAATCAAGTCTAGACCAGACAATCCAGTGATTGACCTAATGAGCCTCAATCCAGGCAATTGGAATACGATGACATGCATCAACCAAGTCAGCGAGCCGTCCACCCAAACCTGTTAGTCGCCTCTTACAAGCATAGTCGCCTTTTATGGCAAGAATGGGTTGCTGAAGACCTATTCTACCCCGGATCTCCACAGGTCGTTTTCGTGAATGATTTGAGTGGATTGGAAGAAGTAAAGTAACCTACATAAATCTCAATGTAATTCCCTTTTAGCACATGATATCGGTGTTATGACTGCTAGTACATCTCCTTGTTTGGGTGTATCTCACACAAAAAAGATTTATTCAAGTAAATAAAGCATCCGGTGTTTTTGTACTGAAGCCTACACCCAACTGCAAGCCGATCCTGACATCACACTGATACCAGTGATTCACTGCAGCATCAACAACACGCACACCATGGTAATGTGGAGGCCCACTTGTATTCTACTGCTCACTGCTAATACTACCCCAGAGTTTGTAACAAATGCATGTGGTTTACCTCCCAGTCTTGTCAATTATGTTCACTGATGTAGACCTGTGACCATAACATTTTTGTTTGTTTGTTTCCTGTCTAGCGCTGCACTCAGACAATTTCCACTTGTGTGACAGCAGCAGGTAAATAATCAAGTCTGGACCAGTCAGTCCTGTGACTGATAGTGTGTGAAATGACACGCCATCAATCACCGAATCGTGCCACCTGATAGCATAGCATAGGCTGCTGGGGATCCTTTCTAACCCGGGATCACAACAAGACCGCACACACAGCACTTGCACCTTGAAATCAAGGATACAGCAGGTATTTGTTTTATGGGTGCTTCGTGTAAGGTGCATACATTTGAAATATTTTACAGGCTCTTCATACAGTTATTGAATGTGACGTTCCATGATTAAATGCGGTGAGGATATAGAAGGCTACACTGCATATTAAATGATTATTCCTGGAAGCCATCAACAGGTATAAGTTATGTAAATTAGGATGTTTCCAGTCATATATCAGTGGAGTACTTTTGCCATGAGTTCATGTAAACACAGAGACTCATGGTAGAAAGACCCAGAAATACAATAGCACCATACTGTTAGCTTCTGTGATTAAGCTGTGCATGGCTGGAGCACTTGATAGTTACTGAGAGCAAGGCTTTAGACATCTTCTGGCAATATCATGGCTGATGACATCAAGTGAGTGAGTTGGGTTTAACGCTGCTTTTAACAGTATTACAGTTATATCATGGCGTGTCAGCTTAATGTGGGAGGAAAGCCCAAAGTGATGCAGGTCTCAGACGTTTACCACTTCAATGAAACCCACAAGCACGAGTATGGTGCTGATAAACCTAGAAACATAATCAGGGCGAACCGGGATTCGAACCAACAATCATAGGTTTCTGGCACGCCAAAAGGACACAACTCTGCACAGCGAATGGGCCACCCATGCTCCCTGAAGACATCAAGAACAGGCTTTACACACTGGACTATGAACCTGTATGTATTTAGAAGCCTGGGTATTTGGCTGTACGAGCGAAGACTTTGCCAACTAAGTACCTCAATCAAAGTCTCAGTTGACACATATGTAGTAGGGCTGGGACAAGTCCAAATTAACTACCCGGGTACCCACACCCCTATTACCTGACTCTACCCGGGTACCCACTGTAGGTCACTGAAAGGTACAAAATGTCTGACTGGGAATAGTTTGACAGTAGCCAAAGTAGCTTTCAGAAGGAATGCGTTCATAGTAATGAAGAAATGCGAACATTAGTGACTTCTGTAACCATGAAATTATAGTGATTTTTTGTCATGAAACAATATATCATGTGACTAACCACGGTTCCGGGTAGTCCTGTGGGTACTCGGGTCCTACTCAGTACCTACCTGACCCGAGTACCCGAGTTACCCGTCCCAGCCATAATATGTAGAAACACCTTGGGGATCAAGGAAAAGATTCAAGACATCGGGGCATTTGAGTGGACATGATTTGAGATAACAAGGTTCAAATGAAGATTGTAGATGATTGAAAACGCAAAACAGGAACAGTATAATAACACCAAATCCTTGGGTACATACTTCATAAAATTATGTATATACATGTGTCTGAAGGAGAAACATTACCAGTATCACCTTCCTTCAAAGTGTATTCCTTTGTGTGCAAGTTTAGGAAATACTTGTAAAAAAGGGGTTAGAACTGACATGAAATAACTGTAGCTAGAAAACATTCCATCAAATAAAATACTGGAACAAAAAAAGTCAACTCAAAGTTATATTTCAATATGTGAAGACATCTAAACACTGCTCCCTGCTACAGACGTCCACGCTGGCTGTATTAATACTGGGCATCACCAACTCCAAGTGCCAAAAAACACTTCAAGTCAAATTATTCATTTCTTCAGATTAATGTGACTGGTTATGGTTCAAGTAACTTGAGAAAAGGTTGCACCAGTTTCAGGAATAAAGAGCTGGTTATAATGCTCAGCACTAAAGGAGGGTCATTGTCAGGGACAAGTGAACAAGGCCTACAATCTGAAGAGTTCAACACTCTGGTCAAGCACATGAACCAATACATGGCTAAAGAGGTGACTGGAGGAGTGAGCTGGGAAAGTGGAAATGTGGGCTTCTACAATTTGGTAACCATTGACAATCTTCCTTTACAGTGTTCAAATTAAGACTGAAAGTAATGGAGTCATTGTAATGTTGAAAGATTAGGGGCTCTATTGATTCAAAAACCATCACGGCAAACCAAGGACCTCAGAGGCCCTCTTAATTTTGATCACTGCATTCTAACTTCAGACAGCTTGAGTTTGAAGTGAGGTGAGACTACATCTGAATGAGATTTTCAGATTGGTCAATATGACTTACCGTATTCAACGTAATAAGCGCTCCGCTCTAATAAGCTCCCACGGCGACATTTGCTAAGATATTGGCTAGTGAACAATCCCAATTAGCACCCCTTCAGATTGATCAATGTACACAAGACTTATTCATTCACGTATAATACTCACTCGTGTATTATATGCACCCTTAATTATGGGAAATTAAATTCTGGAAAAATATATCTGTCATACATAAACATTTCAGGCTTTCACCAAAATAATATCCTAATAAGAGCCCCCTATTTCTAATTTTGTGAGCGCCCTGGGTGCTTATTACTTTGAATATGGTACTTGGATTTCTGTAGCAATATGCTACCTGTTACTACAGCTACATTTTACATGGGGGTCTTGTTTATAAGTACACAAGTGACTACAAGCATATTACCAATTCTTTGGTATAATATCAAATCAGTGATTGCACCATCGTTCTCATCACAGCTCACTGGCTGGGGTCACTACTATGTTCAGCTAATGTATACTTCCAAGGGGTACAAATCAACTACAAAATATGAAAAAAACAACAATAAAACAAAATATAGCAATCTTTTGCAGAATTGCTGGTTTCACTAACAGGCAGGTAGGAAAATATATCACTCCACAACCCACTAATTCCTCTTCACAAACTGTCACAAACTCAAAAATTTATCATGCACGAACAACAAACCTTCCTATAACATGCATTTTGTCAATACAACCTTTTCCTATCTATGACGGTAATTTCCAAACCATGCCTTATTCCATATCTTGTTCACATAGCACATCACAATGTCTAACAATATTAGCTTAGTTATTCATTGTCACATACTCTGGTACACTTAACACAATGACTGACAATATCAGTTCAAATAACCACGAATGACTAGTACCATTATAAAATAAGCAAAAACATGTAACAAAAAATGGTGTTCATGGCACCGCTGCTCACCAGCTACAGTTAAAGTGTCCAGAATATCACCATATTTCTGGACAGTTCAAATTAAGGCCTGTATCAGAGAACAGCTCTTATTAGAAGCCTGTCCCTTATTCTTTCATACATGTATCTTTAATGAGAAGTGATGGTACGTTTAGTGAACAATCGGCCTTACAATGTTTTTAGCTAGTTTATGTAACTGACCGACAAAAACTACCTGAGAAAAAAACACTGAAAAAATAAAATAAAATGACCTTTGGCAAAATATTTTATAATCAGTTTTTATGACAAAAACAAGTTCGTCAAACTGGTGAATAAAGATAAAAAAAATTATTCCAACAAAACACAAATGGGATAATTTTCATACTTCTGTGATGGTGTGACCTACGAGTTTATTTTTCATTTATTAGCAATCTGGAAGTTGCAAATTTCATCTGTGTTGGAGAAGTTGAAAGTTAGCAGCTAGGCAACAACTGGACAGAAAACGGGCAATGTGCCATGTTATAAGCCCACTGGGTGGGAGATCTTGGGTCCTGGGAGCTATAAATATGTCCTCACTCAACCCTCTCAACATGACCATCCACAGAAGAATTTTAGTCTCTACCATGACATTTTATTGCTCAAATTCTATTCTTCTTTGTTAACACCGACTGTCATTCTGAGGCAAGCTATCTTGCAGGTTCAACACCCATAGTGGTGGTCAAATCAAGAAGAGGAGGTTTTGAAGAAAGGTTTTTGTCTGGGGGTCATAGTATTTGCTGTTTCGAAACATGTGGTTCACATGGAAATAATGTTGTAAAAGTTGTGTTGAGATGTGTACATTCAAATAATAGTGTACACACTTCAGATCTAACTCATGAAGTATACCTTATATATAAGAAAGCAAGCAGAAACTCATACCAAGGAAATTAGGCTAAAATAATTAATAGTGTTGGTTCTCAGGCACCACCAGCATCATCCTAAAGTCTGCCGCACGTTTTGTTTTTATTTCCATTTTCAAAAAAATATAAAAATCCTAATACTTAAACACAATGCACCAAAAAAATTTAAAATGGAAACAAAAAAGAAACTTGCAATGAACTTTAGGATGATGTGGGCAGTGCCTGAGAACCAAGACTATTATTTATTTTAGCCTTAATAAACCATTTTTACCACCTTTCTCAACCAATTGTTAACTAGAGACTAAAACTTCAAACAGCATCATATGAAGATTGTCATGATTGCAAAAAATGCTAAAAATAAGTATGCACAAATAAAAAAATATTCGTTTCATTTAAACCTGCTTCTGTTGTGTTAAACAACTAAACACGATATAGAATTGCCCTGAAATTAAAGCAAAGGTGAAAGAATTCTTGGGATATTGCAAAAGCTTCATATATTATCTCTGGATATTTACAAAGTTGCATGGATTCTGAAAGAAAACTGGCAGTTGGTACTATGCTAACTGTAAATCTATAACTACCTCGATACTAATGAGCACAACCAATGGGGTTATATCACATTGTCCTTCAACAATACATACAAACTTTAGCATTATCCTCTATGGTCATCAGAAGATAATTTTCAAATGACCAGGTAACATTTTCCTTCTTTCAGTAGGCAAAGAAACAATTTGCTAAAAAATGTTTACATAGTTTAGCCCCAGCTCCATCACAGCATATGCCACCTTTGTTACCCTCACAGTATCACCTGAGCATAGAGAGCAGGGATTGAGGTATCACTGTGAGGAGCTTGAGTTCTAGGCAAGGAAAGATCTGTTAAAATCGAGAAATCATCATAAACATAATGAATTTGTTGCCCTGAAAAATATTTATTGATGTCACAATGTTATAAATGTGACAAGGATACAGTAAATCTTTTTAATTTTTCATGGACTTAGTTTTCTGTGTTTTGCTTGAGAAACTGGATAATTTGTCATGAACAATGACTTAATTCTGTACTTCAGCGTTATAATCACTCTAATGTGTATGAGGCCTATGATTCTAAACTGAAGTCTTATTAGTGAGCTATACAGATCAGGCTAAGCCTTCTTCTCATCTCTTTCCACATCACTAAACTTGCTTACAGACAATGTCAGACATCTTGAAAACGTATATATGTTTAAGTTATCATGGACGAAAAACTCCAACTGTAGTATTTCTGGGTTTGCATACTGTGGTAATCTTCACTGCAACAGTGTACATATTTATGCAAATGTAGGTGTTAGAAACTGACATGAATAATAATAGAGTACATTCTTCATTCAGTCTTTCAGAGAGACCAGAGACTCATCACAAGGTAAACTGGGACCTGATGGGCAGGGGACCCATGTTGCATATAAACCAGAGGGTTGTTTTGTTTTAGGGTTAATAACCCCAGGAAAACCTAATCTCAAGCATGTGAAGAGTGTTTCTCTTGTAAATCAAGTTACTGTATGATTGTGACAATCCATCTCAAACCACAACATCTTCATCAGTCAAAAAGAAGGATAAACAACACTGTTTCAAGTGTTGAATGAACATGACTTGTCGGAGTAGCAGGTACTTAAAACAGTGAAATTTGACTGTTTATTTGATGCTTAATGACCCAGACAGCAATATTCCAGCTATATCACTGGTCTGTAAATAATCAAATAAGGTCAAACAACCAGTGGTTGATATTATGAGCATTGTCCCATGGTGTCACGGCACATTGCCATGCAATCAACAGTCACTGAGCCTGACCACCTGATCCAGTCTTGTCACCTTTTAGGACAAACAACAGAGTGCTGAAGACCTAGTCTAGTCCGGGCTTCTTGACTATACATATGTTTCTGAATATAGTAACAAAATATATTCCATGAGATTCTTCATCCATTCAAATACTGTAACTGAAGTCAATAACACTGAAGCATAACAGCTGTGCTGAAACATCACCAAGCTGAAACATTACACATGTTGTCCCTATGACAACATATCTGATGATGAATGGTTGCTGGGCGGGTCTAGTAGTTGCTAAGGAAGTTGGGATCAACGGACGACAGCTTGGCAGACAGGAATGCATGGACACAGAACATCAGTGTATGCAGACTTGTGCACTCGATCTCCTGTAGGTACAAAATGATACCAAATGGTCATTAATGAAGTAGACTGCTGAGATGCTAGAAACAAAAGATAAATGAAACCAATGAGCATGAACCAGGATTCTAACTCACAATTACAGTTTTCTGGTTTGGCCAAGGGATGCAACTCTGCCCCTGTTGGCTGTAATGTCAAGAACTTTGCATTTTGCCCTAGAATATCAGACCTGGAGGGAGTGCTTACCCTAGATTCTACACTCCTGCTCAGGTCATTCTGGAAGAGCAGTTTGAGTTTGGTCTTGCCGTCATCTGATGATCCCTTCAGCTGGGAGAAGCGGTAGGTCCACACATATGTCTTGGTCTCATGGTCCACCAATGAGAAGCCATGTTCCAGATCCAGAGTGAGGCCGGACAAACGACCTCGCCATGAGCAGCCAAATGTTATATTCTGGAAACATTTTTGGTAGTTTGTCATATAATCTTACAGCTACTTAAATATTTACACAATGACACAAATGACTAAATTAAATGACTTAAATTAACAAATGTAAAGTGTCCATACTGCAATAAACAGGGCCGTTACTGTAGCGTTCAGCAGAAGTTTGCGTTATGTTAATTAGTTTTTAAGTTTATAGTGTTGTTAACCGAAAGTCTTGTTGCGTGTATTGCACCTCATTTTAACTTGTTAATTAAATGTCCAGCTGGGAGTGTGTTGTTGTCTGGTGTCTTTGTTCGTCGCATTGATGTCCTAGTCTGGTCTTTCATCCAGTATTGCGTCTTATCCAAATAATGAATACATAGAACCTAAACACTACAGTTACCAAAGGTAGTGTCGCATCACTGTTACAAACATTATCATCATGCGTAATAAAGTCCAGCTATTTGATTGGACAGTTGCCATCTTTTAAAACTCCCCACAAATTGGTTGTCAACTACAAGCACATCATGATGTCATAGTGTTTTATGTGATGTCATCTGCTTGTTACAATTAATATGGTCACATAAACATATTTCACCTAAATAGATCTCTGTCACTTGTGAACACAAAGATAAATTCATCACTGTAAACAGAGAGGTGTAGAGGATTTTACGACCTGAATATCCTTGTACATGTTATAAACCCCTCAACCTCTGGAGCTGTGGTGTACAAGGCCCATCAGGCCAATGAGGTAAAGTTCTGTACTCCCACTATTGACACAAGTCACTCATACAGTGATCAGAATAACTAGCACCTCAGAAGATCAAGCCATTTAAAAGAAGTCATTGATCGATACCCAAAGGCTGGAAGACCTAAAATAACATGTGACCTAAATACAAGCACAACAAGGCATTTGAAGGAAGTCATTGAGCAAGACCCAAAGGCTGGAAGATCTCAAATAACATGTGACCTAAATACAAGCACAACGAGGTATTTAAAGGAAGTCATTGAGCGGGACCCAAAGGCTGGAAGACCTAGAATAACATGTGAACTAAATATAAGCACAACGAGGCATTTAAAGGAAGTCATTGAGCGAGACCCAAACGCTGGAAGACCCAAAATAACATGTGACCTAAATACTAGCACAATGAGGCATTCAAAGAGACCCAAAGGTTGGAAGACTTAAAATAACATGTGACCTAAATACAAACAAAACAAGGCATTCAAAGGAAGTCATTGAGCAGGACCCAAACAAGGCTGGAAAAGGCAAGACAGGCAAAATCCTCCTTCTTAGAGGCAGCAATCCCTACTGTACAAGCAGTGTGTCATGTCTAAAATCTTCAATATATGATAGGTGAGAGGGGGAAACATGTACACCTGACATCTTGGCTGTTTCTCCATAAATACTTCACACAGGTTCTAATGGCTTGAAAATTCCAGGGAGGCTAAAAATTAATGATAATGTATACCTACTTTTGGAATTAAGCAGCATTTAGAATGAATGCTTGATGGCTACCTCGGATGGAAAACCGTCATGGATTAGCATCTTCTAATTATTTTGCTAAGTATGTCGATTAGGTTCCAACTGACCTTGATCCTATGGACGGCGAGACTGTTGGTCTTGTACCATGCTCTCTCAATATGTAACAAGTCTGATCTAGCCTCCACACTCAGCACGATAGACTCGCCACTTCCTGTCTGGACAGAGCAGCAATGCTGGCGGTCGTCTGGAAGCTCTTCATCCTAGACGGAAATGAGTGCCACATGTCCTTAATATTTTGTTGCCTTGTACACCATTGACACATTTCGGATTAGACTACAAAGTTACAGTAACAGGTATTTGCATTTAGGAGACACTTCCACATAATGACACACAACTTCATCAAACTGTATGAAACACTGATGTTATGGAGCCAAGAAACAGTGGTTCATGAAGTGCTTTCTGAGTATGAGCACTATATCAATGTTGACAGTGTTATGAGGCAGTCTTAAGAATTCAAACCACTGTATACATAATTTCTAAAAACAGTTTACTTGCATTGTGTCAACAGATGGTCTTTTGAAAATCACACATATGATAATGAGTTGTTAGTCAAGTATTATATGATCATTTATAAGGAAAATAGTGTCAGAAAGTTCTGAAAGTTACTTTTTCCTGTAGGCCAGTGATCATGAAAACATGTAATAACTTTTTAGAACTTGAGTATAAAAACTGGGATTGTGACTAACAAAGAGGATTTTTCATCTAACAATGAATGTTTATGTCCGTTGGCCAATACTTGGATCAAACCTGTTCAGATCAAGATTTTACAAACTGGTCAGTAATTGATTATGACATTATTGTCAGCATCAAATATATACATGTCAAATCCTAGATATACTGGCATTGTAATTGACACTGATTTATAGTTTAAACACACTTGTTGGGCTCACCTTCAGCATCTTGAACATACATTCATACACCTTGTACTTCATATCACAGCGGGTCCAGTCACGAGCATGCATCTGAAACAATATCAACCTACATTAGCCTCCAGCTTCTAAATACTGACTTACACTCTTTTGTACTTATGGCCCTATGTGAGTGAGTGAATGAGTATGGTTTTACGCCGCTTTTAGCAATATTCCAGCAATATTGATTAAATGCGGTGAGGATATAGAAGGCTACACTGCATATTAAATTATTATTCCTGGAAGCCATCAACAGATATAAGTTACGTAAATTAGGATGTTTCCAGTCATATATCAGTTGAGTACTTTTGCCATGAGTTCATGTAAACACAGAGTGAGTGAGTGAATGAGTGAGTGTGGTTTTACGCCGCTTTTAGCAATATTCCAGCAATATCACGACGGGGGACACCAGAAATGGGCTTCACACATTGTACCAATGTTGCGAATCGAACCCGGGTCTTCGGCGTGACGAGCGAACGCTTTAACCACTAGGCTACCCGACCGCCCCTATGGCCCTATGTGGTTTATACAGTCGGCAATAGTCTGGGCCATCCAAAACCACTGGTTAAAAAGGTGTGCAACAAACTACACTGTCCAAGTACGATAAATCACAGATGGTACTGCATTGCAACCACCTGATCCTTATAAGAGTTGCATTCTGCCCTGGGTGACATTCAACAAACCACAAAGCAATCTTAGTGCTACGACTACATGCATCATTAGTCTGGGTGTATCCTAGGAGTTGTGACAGTCATAGCACCAACACTGTTTTTGGGGATGTATTCTGTAGCCACTGGGTTGCTTTGTGGAGCAGGGAACATCGCATAGCCCTCCCAGGTGGAAAACTGATTGTAAGACACTCACAGGTGGAACATTGACTGTGTTATATGTGGAAAGTTGCATGTGATGCATGGAGTTTGTATTGCATGTAAGGAGCTAGTGTAGTACATCTAGTCACATGACCTAACATGGCAACGTCCATGGAGTCTGCGAGCTGTCATTCATTACAGTGTAAGACTTCTAAACTTGGTAAGTTCTAGGTACTAGTAACCATGGTGAGGTAGTTGATGACTTAAGTGGGCGATATTGTTGAGGCGGCAGTTGTAATATGGCGATGTCGTAGGTCGTAAAGTCCGTTTTGATTGATACAAAGTGATTGTTGATGCGTGAGATGTCAACAGGTGATCGCAATGCCAGGCGGAGATATAACAATAGTAAGACACTCACAGGTGGTACATCAAAGAGAAAGACCTCGGGTCCCTTGAGAGCCATGAACTTGGCTTTCCATGGCTGGTTGTGGACTGCAGCTGACATCCGCTGCTGGCTCCAGCACATGTGTGCTATCTGTAACAGCAGGCATAGCATCACCAGCACAATCAAAGAGGGATGATAGTGGATGAGCTTCTCAGTGGTAAAGATGTTGACAAAGATAGTGTGCTGAGTGCATCCCCATTTTGAACAGTACCTCTGTCATAGTATATCCGCAAGAAGCGATGCTACTAAAAAACAAAGTACCAGTAGCTGATTTGTTGAAGCTGAACTATCTATTGACCAGGGCCTCGTTTCAAGAAGCATTAGAAGCACTATGAGTGATTGAGTTAGGTTTAACACCGCTTTAACAGTATTCCGATATCATGGCGTGTCAGCTTAATGTGGGAGGAAAGCTTAAAGTGGTGCAGGTCTCAGATGTTTACCACTTTGGTGAAACCCACGAGCACGGGTATGGTGCTGACAAACCTAGAAACATAATCTGGGGGAACCGGGATTCGAACCCACAATCCTAGGTTTCTGGTGTGTCCAAGGGACGCAACTCCGCACAGCGAATTGCAGCGCCTTAGATGACTGGGCCACCTGTCCCCCCTAGAAGCACTATGACACATTAGAGACATGGGTGCCGTTGTACAAAGCGATCTTAGCGCTAAGGTGATCGTTACTGCCATACCTTAACATAGACTTACGACAGTCCTAGTGCAAAGGTTGTTTTGTACAACGGAACCTTGTTACGTGTGTGTCAGTGTAACAACTGGACACCTGAGTATCAGTAGAAGTCATGAGGGAAGTGTTATTAGTGGTGTGTTTTCTTGAGTTTGGCCTGGCTTCAGTACTTACATGGTCCTCAGACAGCAGCATCTTGTTCGTCATCTGAACCTGTCAACAAAAAACAGGAGCAGCTCAGTGGGCTGCAACAGTCCCCCTTGTCACACAACAAAACACAAACGCAAGACGCAAACAGAGGACTTTTGTCTTTTCTTGTCAAATTACCTCTTTGCAAGAGAACTGACAAAACTGGAAATTGTTTGAATGATAATGAGAACTTGTTCAGGAAGTGAATTGAGATCAACATGTTACTTGACAAGAAAAGGCAAATGTTCTATTTGATTTATTATCTGCCAGGTTTTAGTCTGAAAACCAGTGTCACCAAGGCTGACTGGAAGTAGCTCGTAAAATGCTTTCTAACAAAGCAGATTTTCTAGCTTTATTCAGCATGTTGATCCTCCGCCATCTTGTTTCAGTAGATTGCTCAGAATGCGTTGGAGATTTAAGAGAGGTAGCTCCTATAATGGGCGTAGAAGTAGATACACTCATAAACAAATTCTGACAAAAAGCAAATCGGAAATTTGTAGTACAGAATTCATTATATGCATAGATTCATATGATAATATACAGAACAATAGTCAGGAGAAATAGCTGGAAATAGACAATCCAGCGGATGCTATTAGGAGCAATGATCCCCATCATTGGGGTACAATGACATGCAATGTCACTATTGTTTTTCATTGCATAATATCTATTTTAACTATCGACAGTCTAGGATGGTATCAATGCCAACTATAGATATTTCAGTTTGATGAATTGTTCCTCCCACCCAGATCTGCCCTCTATCTGTGCCCAGTGCCGAGTCTGCTACCCACCATCTGTGTGAGCAGACTGTCGATGATGGTTGTGATGGACTGGATCCACTCGGCCAACATGCGGTTGTCCTCACAGTGCAACACCCCCGAGCTGGAGCCGTCACAGCCAAACACCTCAAAACTGTTCATTCTGCCAAACAAAACATCTTTTAGTGAAGAAACAGTGACAGATCAAATCCTCATATAACAGAGCAATTTCAAAGAGGTACATATCTTGAAAATACAGTGAATCAAATATCTTGTAGTTTCCCGTTTATGACAGAGGAAAAGATAACTTAATGTGTTCGTACTTGTGACATAATGTTTATCAACATTTTACCATGTTCACATGTACATAGGGTATCAGTCATTTTCCATTGTAAGAATAGTCATACGCCATAAACAGTCCCAAGGATTTTCAGGCTTCCAATCCCTTGTAGACATGTCTCTCTACCAGTACAGTACACACTGTTATATATAACGGCATGATGATGGATTTTTTCTATGTTGTCATAACCATGATAACATCATAGCCACACATGAATCAGACCTATGTTTGTCTGTGTCTGTCAGGAGTATTGTGAGTGTGACCTGAGCTTGTGCCTGGCAGGAGTATTGTGAGTGTGACCTGAGCTTGTGCCTGGCAGGAGTATTGTGAGTGTGACCTGAGTTTGTCTGTGCCTGGCAGGAGTATTGTGAGTGTGACCTGAGCTTGTGCCTGGCAGGAGTATTGTGAGTGTGACCTGAGCTTGTGCCTGGCAGGAGTATTGTTAGTGTGACCTGAGCTTATGCCTGGCAGGAGTATTGTGAGTGTGACCTGAGCTTGTGCCTGGCAGGAATATTGTGAGTGTGACCTGAGCTTGTCTGTGCCTGGCAGGAGTATTGTGAGTGTGACCTGAGCTTGTCTGTGCCTGGCAGGAGTATTGTGAGTGTGACCTGAGTTTGTCTGCACCTGGCAGGAGTATTGTGAGTGTGACCTGAGTTTGTCTGTGCCTGGCAGGAGTATTGTGAGTGTGACCTGAGTTTGTCTGTGCCTGGCAGGAGTATTGTGAGTTTGACCTGAGCTTGTCTGTGCCTGGAAGGAGTATTGTGAGTTTGACCTGAGCTTGTCTGTGCCTGGCAGGAGTATTGTGAGTTTGACCTGAGTTTGTCTGTGCCTGGCAGGAGTATTGTGAGTTTGACCTGAGCTTGTCTGTGCCTGGAAGGAGTATTGTGAGTTTGACCTGAGCTTGTCTGTGCCTGGCAGGAGTATTGTGAGTTTGACCTGAGTTTGTCTGTGCCTGGCAGGAGTATTGTGAGTTTGACCTGAGCTTGTCTGTGCCTGGAAGGAGTATTGTGAGTTTGACCTGAGCTTGTCTGTGCCTGGCAGGAGTATTGTGAGTTTGACCTGAGCTTGTCTGTGCCTGGAAGGAGTATTGTGAGTTTGACCTGAGCTTGTCTGTGCCTGGCAGGAGTATTGTGAGTTTGACCTGAGTTTGTCTGTGCCTGGCAGGAGTATTGTGAGTTTGACCTGAGCTTGTCTGTGCCTGGAAGGAGTATTGTGAGTTTGACCTGAGCTTGTCTGTGCCTGGCAGGAGTATTGTGAGTTTGACCTGAGTTTGTCTGTGCCTGGCAGGAGTATTGTGAGTTTGACCTGAGCTTGTCTGTGCCTGGAAGGAGTATTGTGAGTTTGACCTGAGCTTGTCTGTGCCTGGCAGGAGTATTGTGAGTTTGACCTGAGCTTGTCTGTGCCTGGAAGGAGTATTGTGAGTTTGACCTGAGCTTGTCTGTGCCTGGCAGGAGTATTGTGAGTTTGACCTGAGCTTGTCTGTGCCTGGAAGGAGTATTGTGAGTTTGACCTGAGCTTGTCTGTGCCTGGAAGGAGTATTGTGAGTGTGACCTGAGCTTGTCTACACCTGGCAGGAGTATTGTGAGTCTGACCTGAGTTTGTCTGTGCCTGGCAGGAACCTGGTCAGCCTGCCATAGAGTAGCGGTATCGAGGTGACCGTCGTCCACTGTCGCTCCAGCCTCGGAAGACCAGGGATCAGGGGACCAGACAGCTGATGTACCAAATGTGTATATACACGTCACATAAGCATAAGGTTACTTATAGCAGTCGGTTACTTGGAATAACTAAACTGAAGCCCGTATCTAGTTAAAAAGGCTAAAGAAAATGTACACCCATTTTTGTTGGTGGCCAAAAATGAAACAAATAAGAAATGGTTATTCGACAGTGGTGTATTTGATATTGGTATCATAGTTGTGTTTGGACCTTAAGTTTGCGGTGTTTCAACAAATGTTCTCAGCCTAGAAACGTTTTGTTTTCGTTAGTAATGTTTTGGTCCAATCCAAATTTCAAGCGTGTACTTTGTTTTGCTCGGCAGTTTAGTAAGCTCAGCTAGTAATAGTCTAATAATTACATCAAAATCTACAGAAAGTGATACTTATAGCCAAACCCGGGCTGTAGATATTTACAAACCTCTTGGCATAGACTGTTATAGTCACACAATACATCAAAGTTACACAAAACACGAATCACACAAAAGTACACATTCAAATCTGATATGAACCCAGACTAATAAAGGTCTGTGATATGTGATTTACTTTCATTGATTCAGTTTAAAAGATTTTTTCTTCTCCAATTTTCAGACAAATACATAATACTTTCAAGACTGTAAACATTTCAAATGCATTTGAGGAAGTTTCACAGTTTCCACTTACTGGAGGATCATCTGTTTTGGAGCGCACTTGGTTACCTAGGAGATAAAGAAAACAATCTGTTAGAGTTTTAAACTCTTACACTTACATAAACACTGAAGAAGTGAAAAACTACCATATATACAATATACCAGCACAGAAGGTGTATGGATAACGTAAGCGACATGCATGCTTGTGTGTTTGTGGTTGGTTGTACTAGTCCCGACTAATGGTGATATTATGGCAAGGAAACAACAAGTACCATCTTTTAATGTCTTAATGTCTTTTGGTATGGCACGGCCTGGGATCGAACCCAAGACCTTCCCTTTTCTGGGAGAGACACTGCAGTCTCAGAACAGAAAATGATTTGTGAGAAGGAAAGGTAGAATGATACATGCAACTTACAAGAATTACCTTTGTTGAGGAAGTGTGACGCAGGGCGGAAGTGTTTCACTGCCAGCTTCACAATGCTTCCTTCGGTGTCCTTCATCGCCTTGACAACCTGGTCATGGGTGTAGTCCTCCACATTATTGCCGTTCACCTGGAACACCGATCACGCTATGATGTTGATGTCAAGTCAAAATTATATGGTGAGTGAGTTGGGCTTTACGCCACAGTAAACAGTATTTCAGTGTGGTAAAAGACAACGACACACAACTGGAAGAAACAGGGATTTAAGCCCATGATCCGACGATCTTGATGTGGCTAAGGGACACAACTCTGATCAGATAAGTTGGTTGGTTGGTTGGTTTGTTGTTTAACGCTGCACTCGGCAATATTCCTGCTATATGGTCTGTAAATAATCGAGTCTGGACCAGACAATCCAGTGATTGATATCATGAGCATCGATCCGACTTATTGGATGACAAAAAGATAATTCTTCCATTGAAGCTAGGCAAGGGAAAAATTACTCTTCCATTGAAGCTAGGCAAGGAAAGATTACTCTTCCATTGAAGCTAGGCAAGGAAAGATTACTCTTCCATTGAAGCTAGGCAAGGAAAGATTACTCTTCCATGGAAGCTAGGCAAGGATATATTACTCTTCCATGGAAGCTAGGCAAGGGAAAGATTACTCTTCCATTGAAGCTAGGCAAGGAAAGATTACTCTTCCATTGAAGCTAGGCAAGGAAAGATTACTCTTCCATTGAAGCTAGGCAAGGAAAGATTACTCTTCCATGGAAGCTAGGCAAGGATATATTACTCTTCCATGGAAGCTAGGCAAGGGAAAGATTACTCTTCCATTGAAGCTAGGCAAGGAAAGATTACTCTTCCATTGAAGCAAGGCAAGATTACTCTTCCATGGAAGCTAGGCAAGGAAAGATTACTCTTCCATTGAAGCCAGGCAAGGAAAAGTTACTCTTCCATTGAAGCTAGCCAGGGAAAGATTACTCTTCCATTGAAGCTAGGCAAGGGAGATTACTCTTCCATTGAAGCTAGGCAAAGGAAGATTACTCTTCCATTGAAGCTAGGCACAGGAAAGGTTACTATTCCACTTAAAATGTATTCTCAAGTACTCAATACACATCCCCACACAGTGGCTATGAGAAAGAAAATGATGTGGCAGGGGTAGTCAGGTGATCAAAAGTTGTGTAAGGTCACAACGAGCAGAATTACAGTGTGTGACCCATTTGTTTGGGTAATAGTGATGCTGGGATGTGTTCGGGCAAAACGTTTTTAGAAGCTGGAATTTATGTTTTAGCATGTTTCCACGGAAGGATCTAAAGAAGAAGGAAGAAATGCATAGTGTGAGATAGGAGAAGTATAAATATGTAATAGTGATAGGATTACCTGCAGGATGGCATCCCCGACGATGAGCTCCCCGGACCTGTCTGCCGCCTGGCCGTTGATGATCCGAGAGATGAGGACTGGGAGGTTGTGTTCGGCCCCTCCTTTCACGCACAGCCCTAAACCACTGGCTCCCTCACGGTTGATCGACACCTCACGGATCTAAACACGAATATGCAAAACTAAGAACAGCAGTTTTTACAAAATACAGCATATTTGTAGCACAATTGAGGCTTTGATTCAGAATTATAGCCCTCAAATGTAGAGAACCATCATTGTATTTGGCTTGTCCTGAGCACTATTTAGTAGTTTTGGGGAAGCGGACTAGTGTGAATTTCGGACTGATAAACATGTCATGCTGATACATACAGATAAGGCAGATTAATTGCAAATTGACATTTTCTATATGACCGTCATGTTACAGACCAGAAAGGTGAGCAAGTTTAGAGGCACCATCAAAGTTGAATAATGTTCATAGGCCTTGTATTTTCAAAGGAGATGTAGAAAATGTTAAAGGTTAAGACAGGTGGACAGACTAAGCACCAAAAGCCAAAATTGAGAGTTCAGGTGAGCTAACAAGAACCCACTCAGTTAATGAAAAGTTCTGTGCCATGTGGTTACTTTTTATCAGCAGGCTACTCTTACCATATTCAGGAACACCTCATCTTCCTCCTCCAGTGGTGCCGTCACCCATTCCTCTTTCTGTATGACCAGAGTTTCTGTCATCAGCTGCAGTCTGATTGGTTGAGCCTTGCCACGCCCATCATGTAATGTCACGATTCCACACTTAACCTTCAAAGAAAGCAGTTGGAAGTTGTAGTGCAGATGTTCATCATCCATTTCCATGGTTCAAACAAAACTGGGGGGGGGGGGGGGGGGGGGGAGAGGCACGGGTGGCCCAGTCGCCGCGATTCGCTGTGCAGAGTTGTGGCGCCAGAAACCTATGATTGTGGGTTCGAATCCCGGTTTCGCCCCAATTATGTTTCTAGGTTTGTCAGCACCATACCTGTGCTCGTGGGTTTCACCGAAGTGGTAAACGTCTGATACCTGCGTCACTTCGGGCTCTCCTCCCACATTAAGCTGACACAACGCGATACAACTGGAATACTGTTAAAAGCGGCGTTAAACCTAACTCACTCACTCACTCACTCACTCACTCACTCACTCACTCACTCAAACAAACAAAACTGTAAAACTAAAACGTAAGACCAATATGTTAAGAGATTTATCAGCTCAATTTGTACATGCAAGTACACTATCAAAATATTGAAGACCACCCACCAGTATCTCAACATTATTTGTAAATTGATTTATAGACTAATCTTTGGCTATATATCATCACACATTATGACAGAAAATATAATTCTAATATATTTATGTAACATCCGGGTTAACCATGTTTGATGAATTTAGGACTTTTCAAGACATTTTATTGGCCTTTTCATGCAGATTCACATTTAATGCTTTTTCAAACCACATTTTGATGTTACTTTGAACAGGATTTTACTTATGTCATAGTGCGTCAATTTGAAGTGATACAGGTCTTAGATGTGTACCAATTTGGTGAACACACAAACATGGGATTCAGGGTTAGAAATTGGCACTAGTCCTATAGTCCTTGCCAAACTGCCCAATAGTAAAGGTATCCTAAGGACTAGTAGAATTTTGACATTTTTAAAGGTTTTGCTATATGCTATCATTATAAGGACTAGTGGACTGAAACTGTTAGTTTCTACCGCTGGTGGCCCGATTGATGCAACAAACCGAGATACATAACCAGGGGTCATCTGTGATTCAAACACATGATCATGGCAACAGTCAGGGATGATCAACATGATCCTGTGAGTGGTATTTTTTTTGTATACATGTATATCCTGGTATATTCTGATATATTTACTGATTGTAAAACAAGGTATAATCTACCATAGCACTGCCAGATTAACTGTAAAGATAGATTCCAGGAAGAAGCTAATGTTTTATTAGTCTTCTGATAATAAAGTTGGATCTGAATGGTAAAGAAAGTCAACCCAGCAGCGGTAGAAACTAACAGTTTCAGTCCACTAGTCCTTATGATGATAGCATATAGCAAAACCTTTTAAAATGTCAAAATTCTACTAGTCCTTAGGATACCTTTACTATTGGGCAGTTTGGCAAGGACTATAGGACTAGTGCCAATTTCTAACCCTGCACAGGTTTCAGACTTTTACCACTTTGGTGAAACCCATGAGCACAGATATTGTGCTGATAAAGCTAGAAACATAATCAGGGCAAACCAGGATTTGAACCCACAAACATAGGTTTCTTGCGTGCCCAACTCTGCACAGCAATTTGCACCACCTTAGACGACTGGGCCACCAGTGACTGAAATTCAGAAGACTTTGAATGTTTTCACAGTGAATTTCTTCTACTCAAACATCAAATATAAATTTATGAGTGAGTGAGTGAGTTAGTATGGTTTTACGCCGCTTTTAGCAATATTCCAGCAATATCACGGCGGGGGACACCAGAAATGGGCTTCACACATTGTACCCATGTCGGGAATCGAACCCGGGTCTTCGGCGTGACGAGCGAACGCTTTAACCACTAGGCTACCCGACCGCCCCATAAATTTTATAAAATGAGAGCATGCAAACAATATCCTCTACTTTGACATGAAACTGCTGTACCCTTCCTCCTTGTGAATCCAGGTATCGTTTGTTTGTTGTTTAACGCCACACTGAGCAATATTCTAGCTATATGACTACTGGCTGTAAATAATTGAGGATGGACATCATAAAGCATCGATCTTCGCATTTTTGATACCATGACATGCATCAACCAAATCAGCAAGCCTGACCACCCGATCCCGTTATATGCCTCTTACGACAAGCATGGGTTCCTGAAGACCAATTCTAAGACGGATCTTCATGGGTGATACAGGTATCGGCATAAGAATGTGCCCTTAGTGCCAAACTGTTGCTGTTTTCTAATAATAATTTCACAAATAATCAGAAATTAGATGAGACAATTCCTTATGTGAGAACGGAGCACCTTTAGAAATCAGTCCCGTAAGTTCCTGTGATGAAGAATTCTGCGTAAGGTCACATATCACTGAGACAAGTAACCAGTTTTTGTGAGAATTTTCTCGGCCTTGAACTCAGATTGTCAGTCCTTTAAGCTAACCGAATTAAGTCCACACTGTTAAACTAAGGACAAACTGACCTTGTCATGCCGAAATGGATACGGAAATGAATGGAAAGGAATGGGGACAAAGTGGTGACAGACACTCATGAAGGCTATGAGTATGCATTAGGGCTGGGACAAGTCCAAATTTACTACCCGTAGGCCCATCCCCCTATAATAATAATAGGTCATTCGTAGTTCGTCTGGTGATATGTTTGTCCATGCTGTTGCTTGATTGACTGGAATGTCATATTGGCACTAATTAATAAGTGTATGTAACAAATTAGCAAGTAGTGTATAAATAGTATGACTTGCCAGTGTCATACTATACACATCCCTTTACTATACACATCCAGTGAAGAAGAGTATACTGACCCTCAGGATTTTAACAGACATCTTAGGGTTAAGACAGTACAGAGACAACTGACCCTCAGGATTTTACAGACATCTTAGGGTTAAGACAGTACAGAGAGACAACTGACCCTCGGAGTTTTAACAGACATCTTAGGGTTAAGACAGTACAGAGAGACAACTGACCCTCAGGATTTTAACAGACATCTTAGGGTTAAGACAGTACAGAGAGACAACTGACCCTCAGGATTTTACAGACATCTTAGGGTTAAGACAGTACAGAGAGACAACTGACCCTCGGAGTTTTAACAGACATCTTAGGGTTAAGACAGTACAGAGAGACAACTGACCCTCAGGATTTAAACAGACATCTTAGGGTTAAGACAGTACAGAGAGACAACTGACCCTCAGGATTTTAACAGACATCTTAGGGTTAAGACAGTACAGAGACAACTGACCCTTAGGATTTAAACAGACATCTTAGGGTTAAGACAGTACAGAGAGACAACTGACCCTCGGAGTTTTAACAGACATCTTAGGGTTAAGACAGTACAGAGAGACAACTGACCCTCAGGATTTTAACAGACATCTTAGGGTTAAGACAGTACAGAGAGACAACTGACCCTCAGGATTTTACAGACATCTTAGGGTTAAGACAGTACAGAGAGACAACTGACCCTCGGAGTTTTAACAGACATCTTAGGGTTAAGACAGTACAGAGAGACAACTGACCCTCAGGATTTTAACAGACATCTTAGGGTTAAGACAGTACTGAGAGACAACTGACCCTCAGGATTTTAACAGACATCTTAGGGTTAAGACAGTACAGAGAGACAACTGACCCTCAGGATTTTAACAAACATCTTAGGGTTAAGACAGTACTGAGAGACAACTGACCCTCAGGATTTTAACAGACATCTTAGGGTTAAGACAGTACAGAGAGACAACTGACCCTCAGGATTTTAACAGACATCTTAGGGTTAAGACAGTACAGAGAGACAACTGACCCTCAGGATTTTAACAGACATCTTAGGGTTAAGACAGTACAGAGAGACAACTGACCCTCAGGATTTTAACAGACATCTTAGGGTTAAGACAGTACTGAGAGACAACTGACCCTCAGGATTTTAACAGACATCTTAGGGTTAAGACAGTACAGAGAGACAACTGACCCTCAGGATTTTAACAGACATCTTAGGGTTAAGACAGTACAGAGAGACAACTGACCCTCAGGATTTTACAGACATCTTAGGGTTAAGACAGTACTGAGAGACAACTGACCCTCAGGATTTTAACAGACATCTTAGGGTTAAGACAGTACAGAGAGACAACTGACCCTCAGGATTTTAACAGACATCTTAGGGTTAAGACAGTACTGAGAGACAACTGACCCTCAGGATTTTAACATACATCTTAGGGTTAAGACAGTACAGAGAGACAACTGACCCTCAGGATTTTACAGACATCTTAGGGTTAAGACAGTACAGAGAGACAACTGACCCTCAGGATTTTAACAGACATCTTAGGGTTAAGACAGTACTGAGAGACAACTGACCCTCAGGATTTTAACAGACATCTTAGGGTTAAGACAGTACAGAGAGACAACTGACCCTCAGGATTTTAACAAACATCTTAGGGTTAAGACAGTACTGAGAGACAACTGACCCTCAGGATTTTAACAGACATCTTAGGGTTAAGACAGTACAGAGAGACAACTGACCCTCAGGATTTTAAAGGATGCCCATGGGCTAAGACAGTACAGTTTTTTTTAAGCACATCCAAGGTAGGCCTGGACAAACCCAAATTTACTACCCGGGTACCAGGCCCCCAATTAACCAACCCTACCTGGGTACCAGACCCCCAATTACCCAACCCTACTTGGGTACCCACTGTAGGTCTCAGGAGATGTCTCAAAATGTCTGATTGGGAACATTTTGAGCATAGCCCTGGCAAACGTATTAAGATACATGTATTAAACAATCTGGTCATTCGTAGGCATGGTGTCGTGCGACTTCAGTCTAGAAATACCTATGAATGGTCAAAATGCCATCTGGCACACTAATCTCATTCTGTAATCTACATAACCCAAAGTGGTAAAGATGATTTGAAATGATGTGAACTGAAAACAGCTCCAGGCATCAATTTTTCATGAGTACGCATGAATGACATCAATGGTATTTAATAATTTGTGACAGAAAAGTGTGGGAAGGAATACTGTAAGGGTAACATAGATCTTAATATGGAATGAGGGAGGCGTGGCTACTAACGCTCTGAGCATGAGTATCATATCTGTGTAATTGCAGCGAGTGACAGTAGCTTGGATGACGTTCCGTGACAGTCTCCCCCATCTAATATATTCAACACCAAACCACTTCATCCTGCTCTCACAACATTTATATGCGAAGAACAAACAACTGTCACAAATTATTCATGCAAAACAATAAAATGAATTATATGTTTTTTTGTATGCTTTGCGGCCAATGCTACATTATGTATGAGAAGAGGGCATAACCACCTTCCACCCCACACAGCCCTTATCCATCTTTGTCATCACAGACCTAATTGATTCATTACAAAAGATAGATAGTGTTCGGACTGGGGACGTTTGGCTGTGTGCAACGTCACCAAGTAAATAAGTAAATATCTTAATTTCTGTGAACAATAATGAAAATTACTCAATTGAAACAACAAATAATGTATATTAGTTCCTATTTAGGATCTTGTTAGCATGTTAGCCAAATAAATTAAGTTGAAACAGAGGCGACTGTGCTTGTCGTAAGAGGCAACTAACGGGATTGGGTGGTCAGGCTTGCTGACTTGGTTGATGTATGTCATCGATCCCAATTGCTTGGATCGATGCTCATGATATTAATCACTGTATTGTCTGGTCAAGACTTGATTATTTACAGACTGCCGTCATATAGCTGAAATATTGCTGAGTGTGGCATTAAACAACCAAACAACCAAGTTGAAACAAAAAAACAAAAAAACATGCTGAAAATATTATGCTTTCAGAAACTGGCACTTGCTATAAAATGCGCCGCTGCAGCCTGTACTTGCTCAACAAATATTTTGCTGTGCACAGTTGCGTCCCTTGGGCTTGCCAGAAATCTATGATTGTGGGTTTGAATCCCGGTCCGCCCCGATTATGTTCCTAGGTTTGTCAGCACCATACCTGTGCCCGTGGGTTTCACCAAAGTGGGAAACGTCTAGGACCTGCATCACTTCGGTCTTTCCTTCCACATAAAGTTGACATGCCATGATGTAACTGGTATACTGTTCAAAGTGGCGTTAAACCCAACACACTCACTCAACATCACTGGGCTTCTTCAATGACATTACAGAGATGCTAGAGGTGGCTTATGCACACCCGATTACACAGCAACCCTGTTGCAAGGCTGATGTCACACGGAATTGTTTTGCCAGTGTATCTGACGACACAATTCTACAAATTACATCATAAGGTATTGTGACATGTTCGTAACTGAATTCTCAAGGTAGATCGACCACAGAGTTTGTAAATATTCTGCAACATTGACATGTTAAATATAAATATAAATAAAATAAAATATAATATTAACGCTACACTGGTGTAGCATGGAGGTCAAAAGACAGTATGCTAAATGATGAATAATCATGTCCCATGACTGTAGCAAGATATATCAAGAGATGGTTCCGGCAAATTAATGTCAATCTAGTAGCCTTGTTGGTTTCTTAATGTGTCATTCCTATCAAGACTGTGAATCGCTTGCTAAATTCACAGACAACAAAAGTTATCTCGCTGATTCCATCATACATTACATTCTTACACATTTTGCAGTAGGCTTATGACAGCAGTAGCAACACGACAATCCCTGCAAGTCATGGAGTGTCGGAGGAAATGTACTATTTATGAACTGTCAAACTAGTGGAGTAGCCGATAGATCTGTCATGCAAGCGTTAATGTGCAGAAATATACGTCTATTTTTCAGTGCTTAGACTTAATAGAACTGCAATACCTCTGTCATTTTTTTCTGTGTTCAGTCTACCATTATTATGCGGCACCGAGGAGTCAAATTACACTCTACAAGTGGCATTTTCTAGCACGGCATTCCATCACATTACTTTCCGAAGAGACAAATTTGTCCAAGACTACTTTCCTAACCAATAACATTATGGAGTGCAGAGCACAAACGAACTTCTGACGACAGAATAACATCCCCGTTAAAAATGTCTGTTATATGCACTGAATTTGTTAAATGAGTTTCGAATATGACATTTTAACTTTTTTTTATAAAACATAGGTAGGAGCTCGTCCCGACATTATCCGATGTTGGTGTTTTTGGGAGAATGGAAGAGTAACTGTTAATTAGTTAAATATTGTTATTAATAATATTACAGGTGGACACTACTGTGTAATATGCCATACTGTAATTAAAGAAATTACACATGCTACCTAATAATTTGACAGACATGAAAGTGGAAGAAACGGAACACTCATTGTATCGAGATAGAGTTACGAACGTCAGACTGAACACGCAGGGTCAAGCGTACGTCACTTGGGATCGATCGAATGTCTTGTTTGATAGGCATGACTTAGAAGTTGACGGATGACAAGGTAGACACACTTTATGGATAACAACTTCTTTAATTACTGTAAAGGCGACGTTTCGGTATAGATCCATATACCGTTGTCAAGCAGTCTTGTCATGCTTGACAACGGCATAAGGATCTATACCGAAACGTAGGCCGAGGGTGACATCTTTCCTGGAACAAGGCTTATATAGCCCAAATCACATGACCAGGAAGCCTAAATAAATATACGAATAATGAGGAATGGCATTTGCAAAGCTCCTTTTAAATGGCTCTCAATAAATGCATGGTAACACAATAGAGACTAGGCTTAACAATTAACACGTTAATCTGGGGATTAGCACCCTGTAATTAATGTATATTGAATGATTCTAGACATATGTGGATAAAGAGGTATAGTTAAGCCCTTTGAATAAAATGTTACTTCCAGCAATGGTTGTCATGGATTCTGAGCCGCTACGACAACTAAAGTTTCTTGAAAATTTTACTTCAAACATGAACTAATTTCTTTATAAATTTTCGTACCCCAAATATCGGAAGCTTTTTTTTCTGGCCGTAATTTTAAAACCACAATTCCAGTACTTTTATTTAAATATCCTTTCATTGGGGCTTTTCGTTAATCTTATTTCAGTTCTAAGAAATGGATGGCTCTTGCTGGTACGATAATTGGTGTTTTCAAATACGATAAACAATAACATTAGCAATCGACACGCACGCAAGCCATTTCCGAGTAGACACATTGCGAACACTGGGCAATAACAAGAGTTACCCAAGACATCCCCTATGCCATGTAGTAGTATCATTTCGTTATTGATAATAAATATTCTAATTAATCTGTAGTGTACTTCTCACGACTATTGGACCAATTCAGATTAATTAGTATATTAGGGTTAATTGGCAAAGTAGACAGAACTTTTTAAATTACTGTAAAGGCGACGTTTGGGTATAGGTCTGCTTTGTCATCCTTCAACTTCTAAGTAATGCCTAGCAAGCAATTTAGGGTTAATTGGGTTGTGTTATCCAATAAACACGAATTAAGACCGGTTAGACTAATTCAGAATTTATTTTGGCATGATTGTGCGAAATTACCTCCAGACTTGTCGAAAAAGAAGATGTTCATTTCTCATGAATATTTATTTCTCTCGTGACACAGAGACATTGACAAAGAAAATATATATAGAGAATCTCACCCGAGTGTCTTTTGATATCTAATATATCAACACGAGTTGATAAAAGTGGAACAATTCCGAGGCTTGTCGATGATTTTTGTCACTTTTATTAACGAGTGTTGATATATTTGATATCAAAAGACACGAGGGTGAGATTTTATTTATCATCCAACATCATTCTTCCAACTTTTTCAATTTGTAGACAGTAATTAGCAGTGTCTTCAGTGTAAAAAGTACTGCAAACAGCTTCAGTAGCAGAGCCATTAGTGATGTCATTTGATTGTGACGTCATTGTAACCAGTGACGTCACAATGGTCTGTAAAGCATTGTGATATAATTTCATTGCAGCGATATCTACAGTGTAGATATCGCTTGATCTATCTCCTGTGGGAGCCAGTTTTGGATGCTAAATACACAGTAATGGAACAACAATGAGTGGAGCACACGCAGTCCACATTGCATGTACATAGCTAATCTTAATGGAAGAGGTTTATAAGAGCATGGCATAAGCGAAATACGTAAAGTTTACAGTATTTAATATTTGCCGTAATATGATGGAAGATATATATATTTCTTATATAATCCATTTTACGGCATTGTAATATAAAATGTAATTCATTACCAACATTAATTTTACACAGTGAACAAAGTCTAACTTCCTTATTGATATTATACCATCTACCTGTTTCAATATGGAGTCGGTGATTGGCGCTTCTAATTATAGTAAGCCAAACGCACTCATTAAGAGGTAAATACAATAAAAAATCTTCCATTGAGAGAATAATTTACACAAATTGTACTGTCTTTTGATGATTTGACTTTACTTTGCCTCAACAGATTGATCGGTAGGGACAGTTTGACCTTACCTTAGCCGTTATCCATTATACCTGATAGTTTCGTTTCCGAAAGAACGAATGAATACTAATATGATACCATTCTTAACTTTACAAAAAAAACATTCACTGGTTACGTACCCGTCACCATGAAACCAAGAGGAGTTTGTTTAACTTTCAAAATATATTTACAATATCTTAAATGAATACGTTCCACGTTGACAAAGTCTTTATTTCATAACCCAGTTCATTAACGACATTTTACCTTGATGGCACACCGGTTCATTCCTTATAGTATTAAGTACCTTTGGGCTTTGCTTCGTCTGTTTATTACTTTCACTATGTGTCTTTTCATAAATGTTTTGTTTTTTAAATATTTCACGAAATATTGTTTCACTTACAATAATACACATAGTTTGGAATAATGATTGCTTGTGAACCAAGAGATAATTGACTTCTTGATATTATTAGTGAGTGTGTAATTCAGTAAACAAACATGTCTACAAACGGTGCAGTCTTCCTTTGATTACAGTTCATTTCGTCTACAGTCAGTTCGACTACAGTAATTGTGGTAAGGTGGGGTGATTCGACTACATTCAGTAAATCTCATCTCTCACTTGGTAATGGACAGGTCCGAACTCCATAATACCAGCGACACATACCTAAAGACAATTAAAACTTGAAATAAAGCTGAAAAATTGAAACTATTCTGCTCAGGAATAGCTCAGTAGTAAATAAAGGTCCCCTTTCTCCTGAGTAGTCTCATAAAGTTTAAAAACCCCTTTAAAACCACTGATCACGCCGAACACGCGGATTACTAATAAGAGAGAATTGCTTATAATAGCCGTTGATTAATTTATACTTTAAATGTTTGCATGAGGCCGATGTGGGTTCGTAACATGAAGAATGGGTTGTAATCAAGTAGTATTTGTGCTCTCCAACGAGAAAGACCGGAAAATCCTAATGCCAAATCACGCGAGATTGTAAGCGAGACTCGGTACCTTAGCAACACCGGGCAACAAGGACGCAGGCTTAGAATATCAACAACCAAACACCTTCAGAACATAGTGTGTGTCTGCCATCTGCCAGTTCGAAGGCAGTGATTTGAAGATGGAAGGTTTACCATTTCTTCCCGGAAACAGCTTTAATGACCCAACTGTAAGTTACACTTTGTTATACATTTGCACCTAAGTTTGTCTACTATTTCACTCCAGCGGCCTCTAGAGCCTAGTCTAGGTCTAGTTGCTATATTGATAAGAACTGATAAACTTAGACAGAATCACACTGACACATTTTGGTCAACATTTAGCTGGTGGAATGTACTATTTCATTGTTAATATCGACAGCTGTGTCTTAATTTTATCTTCTGTTGTTTAGGCCTAGTTCCGTTTTACCAGGTTTGGTGCTATCGATCTCTAGAACATGACCAGGCTTCAGCGTTTCCACCACTTTTTATCTATTATTCATGTACTGTCTGTATCTGTCCACACCATGGGACACTGAAGACCAAGCCAATACACTATTTCTGTGGAATATGTTTAATTACACCCAATATTACTTATATATTTATTAAGGTGATATTGAACTGATGTGTTATCATATTATCTCGATTTATTTATCTTTTCGTGCCAAAATTGGCTGATAATAGCAAGTAGGCCAGGGTACCTTTGTGGGGAAAATACAGCCTTATCCCCAGAAGATGTCTGTTCAACATCCCTGTCATAAAAGAAATAACTGATCAATTGTGAAATGACATTACACAAATATACAAATATAGGAATCTGTAGAGTCAAATTTTAAATATATTTGTCATTGGTAAAGAACATTACTGTACTGTAATACACCATCCAACAGAGTCTTTTTTCCATTATTTTCCCTTAATGGCAACAAGCACACCAAGCTCTGCATTATGATATATACCAAGAGATGCTTGATGTTGTTGTACAGAGTCCAGCCAATTAAATTTAGTTTCTAATGATCTGCCCCTAAAATTTAGGGCTGGGACGATTCCAAATTTACTACCCGGGTACCCCCTCCCCCCCCTGTTATCCGACCCTACCCGGGTACCCGCTGTAGGTCTCAAGAGATAGGTACAAACATACTCCTGTCAAAATGTATTTAGATACAGGTATAAAATGATCTGGTCATGCATACACTGAACTTGACTGAAGTTTTATCTTTATGCAAACATATAAAGTCTGAAGGAATGTGTGCATAGTCGGAAAGAAATGCGAACATTTGTCACTTATAGTGTAACCATAGATTTCTAGATAATGTTTGCCATTAAACAATATAATCATGTGACTAACCACGGGCCAGGGTAGTCCTGTGGGTACCCGGGTCCTACTCAGTACCCACCCGACCTGAGTACCCGAGTTACCCGTCCCAGCCCTACCACCATTCATATTTAATTTTTTTAAACACTGTTAAAACTACTTTTAAGTCAACTTTTTCTTATACCAGATTCTATTTTGGCAAATCATGCCATTCACACAAGGGGCATGCACGCATTGGAATCTAGATTTCATTTAGATTTGTAACCTGTTTAAACAAATAAAGTC